TAATATTATATTATATTATATTATATTATATTATATTATATTATATTGTATTGTATTGTATTGTATTGTATTGTATTATATTATATTATATTATATTATATTATATTATATTATAGTACTTTGTATATTATATTATAGTACTTTGTATATTATATTATATTATATTATATTGTATTATATTATATTACTTTGTATATTATATTATATTATATTATAGTACTTTGTATATTATAGTATATATATATTATATTACATTAGATTACATTATATAATATGTATTATATGATGTTATATTATATTATGTTACATTATATGTATTATATGAGGTTAAATTATGTTATACGTTTGTTTTTGTTAAATAGTTTGAACGCTGTATTAAATTCTTCAATGCAAAAACCAAAACTCTCCCTAAAAACTATTTATAGACAACGTTTACAGCCCACTCCTCCCCTTGAAACAAAAGGTAAAAAGGTGAATAAAACCTCTGTCCTTTGCACCTCCATGTAAATATTCAGGGACCTTTGGACCATTCCTCTGACTGGAGATCATTCTGGGCTACAGACCCACTATGGGCACATCTTTTCTTTTTAAAGACCTCCTTGTTGGCTATTTAATGCCAGAAAAATGCTTTGAAGAGTTTTTTGTTCACTTTCACTTCCACGGTGAGGCTTTCAGCTGAGACAAATCCATCCAGATGTTCAAGGAAACGTCTAGAGAAGGGCTGGAAGATGTTTGTTTAGGACATAGTTAAAAGAAACTTGCTTTATTTTTTTTTATTTCTTTATCTCATAGTGCCGTGTCTGAAGTTTGTACTGAACAGAGCTGCTGGGTTCTGGATCCTGCTGGACACATTTCTGGGTAAGACTTTGACAACAAACACCACATTAGTGTTTTTTATGCACACATTTGTGTGTTTATTAAAGAAGTCAGAGTATTAACCTCACTGGGTTGAACTTTGTGATTAGGAATGGTCAGATAAACAACAAAGATTCACTCAGTTGTTGATAAGAAAATGACTTCATCAGAGGGGGAGGGGGTCCTCTACATGCAGAAGTTCATGAAAAACTGTCAAGTTTTAACACAAAGTCACGTTTTTATGATGAAACTCTGTTCCAAAGAACCATACAGTCATGTAGTGTTTATCAGGCCGACCTGTTCAGCTGCTCATCAACACAAATAAACATGTCTAGACCAGGTGAAGATGGTAAAGTGTTTTTTTCTGGTTTCCCCCTCACACACACACACACACACACTTCTGATGATTGCAGCCCAGCCGTCTCAGCTGCTGAAAATCTTCTGGAGAGGAAGTTCAGAGGGTCTGAGTCTGACCTCCGTCCTGCTGCAGCTTTACGCCCTCTCATGTCCTGTCATCTACGCCATCGCCAACAACTTCCCATTTTTGTGAGTGAGAACCTGAGAATAAACCAGATACGATGCAGGACTCCTTCATCTTGTGTAATGAACCTCAACTCCTTTTTACGGAGACTCTGCTTCCATTAACGTCTAAGCAGCAGCTCAAAGCATCGCTTGTGTTTCATTTGTATTTGTTCTCGAACCTCCATAGCTCCTGGGCTGAGAGGCTCTTGGTGGTGGCTCAGACAGCAGCCATCGTCTTCCTCATTCTGCTTCACCGCGGCCATGCCGTCAAAGGTCAGCAGCTGACGTAGCCTAGAAATAAAAAGTATTTCTGTGTTTTTGAAAGGTTCAGATTAGTGACCGTTTTAAATTCATCAACAAAATGTAAGGAAAGAGCACCTGGTTGAAGAATAGATTCATTAATGTTAAGAGAGAGCAATACACAGCTCCTGTGCTAATTGTTAGTTGTGTCATATCATATATATATATATATATATATATATATATATATATATATACGCATACATACTTAATATCCTGATGTCACAGGGAACTAAGTCGCATGAAGACTTGGCATTTGTTTTTACACCGGATGCCCTTCCAGACACAACCACAGACCACTGAGCATTTATGGCACCCAGAGGAACAGACCTTAAGTTTAAGTGCCTTGCTCAAGGGCCCAGAGTGGGGCAAATGAGGGTGAAGGCAGGTATGGGTGCTTCACCTTTCCCACCCACATTTTTTTAATGTTGTCGATCCGGGGGATCGAACCAGCAACCTTCTGATCACAGGCTCGCCTTCTCTAACCTCTGTGCCACCCCTCCCGTTATGGTTTTCTTAAATATAAACTTTAGTAAATAAACTGTAAAGAATTACCCGTTGGATGAAAATGTTGTAAAACTCACTCAGCTTCATGTGTGACTGTGCTGTAATCATTCTGAAACAAGGCTGTAGTTTTTTATGTTTTGCTCTTATGACATATTATCTTTAAAAAAAATCAACTAAATAGTTTAATTTGCCTTTTGTTATGTGAAATATATATTATTCTCTGAAAATATGTGATCTGTTATCTTAAAGAGATTCACTGGGAGAATGTATTTTAATGCATAGTTTTTAAAGCTTAAAAGCATTTACTTAAAACATTAATTCCAAAACCAGAAATCTCCACTTCAGTCCCACATTCATAGTTTTCTTCTGTTTCATGACTTGAAGAACAGAAAATGTGATTCATCTAAACAACTCAAACGTTGTTCTTCTTGTCTGTCAAGGGAAAATCTTAAACAAATTGTGGAAAGTTCCCATGTTAAATGATTTTTCATGCTTCTGTCTCATGCTGCTCTATTCATTCATACCCATCTACTCACCAGACTCATTGGACTGCCGTTTATTATTCTGTATTATTTTACATTATTAGTGTTTAGCATATAGCTTAGATCGTTTAGCTTACCGTTTAGCGCTTGTTTAGCGTATATCTTCGTGTATATCTTAGATCCTTATTTACTGTTTCTTTTTTGTACTTTATATTTTTGCTATTTTTGGATGTAACTGGGACCTTGAGTACACAGTTTCGTTCCACCTCATGTACTGAACGACATTAAAGAACCTTGAACTTGATTTTGTTGCAGGACTGCTGCTCCTCCTTGGTTTCGGGGGTGTGATGCTCCTCCTGGGTTTATATGCAGCTGCAGCAGTCGTCTCACTGATGCACGCCTCCATCACTGCAGCTTTCATTGCAAGCAAGGTGGACATCATCTTCCTGTACAGGAGCACATTTCTGGCTGGTTCGTGATCAGTGTGACCATCAGTGAACATGCATCATGTGATTTTTGTTCTTTCCAGCTTGTACAGGCTGTAACAAACTACCGTAATGGACACGCGGGTCAACTGTCCACCCTGTCCTTGTTCCTGAATTGGACAGGCTCTCTAAGCGTTGCTCTTGTTAGTCTACAGGTCTGCAGGCAGAAACAAAGCTGCACATTTTAACAGCTGGTTGTATCTGCTTGAATTGTTTGAAACTTGTTTCTTGCAGGGTCACAGAGGATCTCTTGTCAGTCTGTCCCACATACTGTCCTCATGTCTCAGCTTTGTCCTGCTGTCTCAGGCCCTCTGCTGCACCTGCAGCTCTGCCACAGCCGCAAAGAAGACGGATTAAGAGCGAAGATCTTCGTCCACCTCATGTTGGCGACAGAAATATTTACCTTGTCTTTACGCTCTGCTGTGTTTTAATGCTGCTCAGTTGTACCTTTAAAGGGTCCTGTGAACTTTATCTTTTTTTAATGTCTGCTTCAGCTACTGTTTAACAGTGTCCTCTGTCTCCCTCTAGTGGTCAAAAAAAGTGTTACAAAAAAATCACGGGAGGAACAGACAGTCTTCACTCTGGTGAAGTCATCAACCTGGTTATTGCCTTGTGCTGATTTTGACTGTTTCTGTTTGTTAGCAAAATATCTTATGAATCACTGAATGAACTTTTGTTAAAACTCTCGGGAAGTTTTCAGTGGCTGTTCATCTCCACCTGATTAACTCTCAGCAACAAACCTTTTCAAAAATGGCTGCCACAGCTAAGAGACTAGCAGGCACCTAACAGCCAAATTCACAGATAACGAGCTAAGTGTGTGTGGTAGTTGCTGAGCTTTGTATCCAAAAGATGCTCCGAGCTCAAATTGAGATTTGTTTATAGAACTTTGCCAGTAACTAATGCAATAAACTGTTTGTTAGTAAAATATCTCATAAACTTGAATGCTTTTAATGAAATTCTGATTAAGTAATCGTTAGATCTGCGTGTTAGACTCAACAGCTCACGTCAATATTACCTCGTCTGCATATTTAGTAATCGACTCTGCTGCTCCCTCCCTCCACATTCATTCTTTCACATTTTCAAAAATATATATTTCCTCCTCCTCGAAATCCCTCTGAAAGCATCAAGTGGTTTAAACGCTGCTGCCCGCATCACCAAAACCCCTTCATTTCTGAACATTTGGTCATTTTCAACTGTTACTGACGAGATTTCATATAATTTACAAGGTTAAAGTCAGAATTTTGACTCTTATTTTCTGAATACTGAGATTAAAGTAGGAATTCTTTAATATCAGCACTCTGAGAAAAAAATTACTATTATAATTAAACAAATAAGTTTTACCACCGTGAACCTAATCCTTTTCTGTAAATGTCACTCCCATTTCAACTTGTTTTTATTCATCAGCCTGTGCTTTTATTTTGTGATTTTGCACTGTGTTTTTTGGGTGGGGTGGTGTAAAGTGTCCTTGAAGTGACCTGAAAGGGACTAACAAATAAAATGCACTTTTATTATTATTATTATTATTATTATTATTGTTTGTACATATACATCTTTTGAAGTGACCAAGTTCAGCATGGCTGCCACAACCTTACTGCCCAATATAAAAAAAATGTCTATAACTCAGTCCGTTTCACAAATATGAAGCTAAATTTGGTGTGGTAGTAGCTGAGAGTCCGTTTCAACACATGATCTGAGGGCTAGCACATCTTGCAAAAACGACTCTAACTTTACAACTCAAGCACTGACTTGAGCTTGAGTTCACCAACATTATTCGGTTTCAATTCAGTTTATTTATATCGCGCAAAATCACAACAAAGTTGTCTCGGGGCACTTTACAGGAACATTCACATAGAAAAGCCAATTAGTAAAGTTCTCTATCTAAGGAAGCCAGCAGACACGTTTAAGCTTCACTTCATCGCAGTCTCCCATCCTGAGCAAGCACAATGGCAACAGTGGAAAGGAAAAACTCCCTTTTACCAGGAAGAAACCTTTAACAGAACCAGGCTCAGGACAAGTGGCAATCTGCTTTGACCGGCTGGTTGAGAGGTCAGGAAGGAGACAAACGAACACAGAATGTTAGGTCCAGATGTTGGTGCAGGTGTACCTGTGTATTTTCAGAAGGGAACTTCTCTGTAGACTCAGCTTCCCTGTCCCTCCTCTGTCACTCCTCTGTCCCTCAGTCGTGGAACTCAACTCAACCTCTGGAACATCAGGAAACGTTGTTGGCCTCTCAGTCCCAACTCGTTACCTCCTGGAGTCGGTTCATGAAGCTGCAGGCCTGAAAGCCAGCACAGAGCAGCTGCTGTTTGTGGGATTTTGAAAAACAAAAACAAAAAAAAAAAAGTATTTAAACTTATTCTAAGTTGGGGAAAGGGGCCAGATCTGTAGAAGACACCCTGCCTTGTCAGAGGACATAAACATCTCATTCATCAGCACTCAGCAACTTCCCCAAACATCTTGAAGAAGCAGGGGAGCACCTTGAGGAGCAACACATTCAGCAAGCCAAAATAACTCAGTCAACATCTGGACTTGGTGTATGTGTGGCTCGGACTATTTCCTGGTTCCTTTCTGTGTCTTTGAGGGCAAACCCTGCAACTATTAGTTATTATTGGACCAATCAAATCTATTAATTTAGGCATGGCTAACTTGGCAGCCTTTTAAAATAATTGGCATCTTTGCACATCGTTTTACATTATTTATTATATTTATTACTGTCGTGTTTTTATAGTTATTGTATTGTTCCTTGTGGTCTTATTGTATTGGCTGTTCTTTTTGTCTGTGCAGTAGTGCCCTTTAATACCATGAAAAATTTCTCCCATGGGAGACAAATAAAAAACAAGTCAGCTTGATTTTCGTCTTCTTTGTTGGATGAAGAGTTGTAAAAACTGAAAACATCATTAGATTAGGTTTTATTATAGACTGGAGTCCAGTGGGACAACAGGAATGAAGCTAAATTTATTCTGATCAAGTCTTTTTAGAGTAGTTCTTTCACTGAGACATCTGACAGGTAGTCAAGACAATCGGGGAGTGGTTTGAATAGGACTGGGGGATTATTAACTGGAAACAGGTAATCGACTGATGCTGACTCAGATGAGTCAGGTCCCTGATTCGGGTTAAAAACTCACCACAAGACTCAGATGTATAAACATTTACATACAACATTTTGGTGAACTTGCCGTTGATTTGCACGTTTTACGTTTTTCCTTTCATTTGTTTTGTTCAATCATTTGCAAGTTGTTCATTGTAAAATAAACATATCTGAATAATGCAAGTGGTGATCCTTCTGACTCCAACCGGATCATCTTAGCGTATGACTCAGCTTAACCGGAGTCCATAAAATGAACTGATTTTACCACCTCTGCATGGCGTTGTTGCCATTTCCTGAGCCGAATAATGTCCATGTTGCTACGCGGCTGCAGGCCCGATAGGGTCGCAGCGCTCGGTTCAGACACGGCGACAAACTAAAGTGCCGTGTAAAAGTATAAATGTTTAAAATTTAATCGCCTGTTGTAATGTTTTTAAAACAAGAGTTTATTTAAAAGCCTGAAAAACAAGCCTCCATTTAGCTAGCCATTAGACTAGCCTGGACGAATCCTTCTGCTCTTTTTTCATTTAAATAAATGGCCAGACTATCCCTTTAAAGGTGTCAAAGCGATCACTAAATTTCCTTTGTAACCACAACGGTGGTTCATTAGTTTAATTTTCATTCCAGCCTCAGCTTTGTTTTTAGAGCTAATTAGCATTAGCATTTGTCAGGTGTCTGCTGTGTTTCAGCTGGGTAACATCATTACTTTAGTAACTTTAGTGTGAGTTACAAGTAATCAAAATATTTAAAATCACCTTAAAATCTTTTCTAAGCTATCCACTGATCATCTGTGAAGACAACATCTTAGATACTTGTATTTATTTATAGATGCAGATGTGATAAAGACAAAAAAAAGAAGATATTTTTGTTGTGTGAGCAGCTGAGACATACAAATGAACAATTTCACTCAATAAAAAAGTAATTTATTTGCTCTTCTTCATTACACAAAATAAACAGCCATTTTAGGTAATCACATTCATGAAACGTTTCTGTCTAACAATGCTGCTGGGCTTTTAGTCAGGTTTTTAAAATAACACTTTTTATGTAAAGACATTATCTCTAAATGACCCTATAATAGAACATTCAAAAAATAAACATCTATACTGGTTTTCTTTAAGTTTATGAACAGGTTTTCTTTCAAATGGGAAAAACAATCAATTGAAATTTTATGAATGAATGGCACAATTTCTTGAGCTCTTATTGAAACATTTGCGAAGAAGCTTTGGTCAAAAAACATTAAAAATAAACTACAACAAACAGAAGGAAGGGTTAACCTCTCCATCCATCCATTAGTTGTTACTAATGGATTGTAACTTTTAATGGCTCTCACTTTGGCATTACAAAGTTTTAACGAGATCCTTTCTGGTAAGAAGTTTTTCTACAAATATAAACTTTAATAGTTTCGTAATTCTAACAGTTCTGGCGTATAAAACATGCAGCAAGGCGCCTAAAGCAGCTGGTTCATTTTACTAAACATGATAAAAACAGTTATCTTCAGAAAACGCCACGAGGGACCACTGATGACGTTTATAGTGCAAATGATGGTCATCTCTTTGAGAGAACCAAAACTTTAATTGATTAGATAAATTTCAATAAGCTAACTCGTGTAGCTGCAGCACAGGTTTCACACATTTCCTGACAAACACACCGAGTTGATGATCAATGAAAATTACATTACATATTACACACGGCAATATGTTTTCTGTCATGTTGAGAAAGAAGCAACAGGTCAGTTTGACAGATGAGAGCAGAGTTAAACAAAATTATCCTCGTTAATTAAAAAACACTACAGTGTGTGTCAGAAATAAATCATAAAGTATGTAATTATTATTAACCCATGAAAGGTCTTAAAGGGAAAAATCAGCCACGCATTTATTTGTACGTGGTTTTTTTTTCTGTCAATAAACATCATTTTTTCAGGCAAAGCTTAAAAATCCAAATTATTTAAATTTAGTCAGAATTGTTTCAAACGCTCCCGTAACTTCACAGTAACTTTACTGTAGGGTTGCGTAGAATACAAAAAACACCACAGTGAAATCCCATTATAAATGCATTTTTGAGCCCATATTTATATCATAACATAATGCATTCCTTTCAGTAACTTTTTTTTTTTACCTCCATATACTTGTTTTTTATATTAGCTCACTAGGTGGTGCTCCACTCTTACATTAGAGAGCCACTGTAAAACGAAATTAACTATTTATGGTATGTTTTTCCACTCAGGAACACAAACTGTCTTAAAGTTAAAGGGACTTCCAGGGGTTAATATTATATTGGTATTTTTGATCAGTAAATAAAATATAAATAATTATTCAATCAAATTAGAGCTAAAAGTGCATGTGAGACATGGCTCTTTGACTAACAAGTAGGAAACCTTGCATGACATTAATGTGATTTTGGACAACACCTCTCTTAGGGTGTGGAAACACAATTAAATCTGTCACACTGGGACAAAATCGACTCTAAATAAATTATGTGGGTGTGGACGCAGATCGCGTCAAAAACGGTTTGGATTCTGTTACTGCAGATAAACGAGTCCATCGGAGCCACTGAGGGAGAAGATTTTGAACTAAAGCAGCACAGAATAAAAACTTAACAGTAAAAGTAGATTACTGTAAGTTTGGGTTTTATTGTGTAGTTAAAGCTCCCTGCAGGACAAATGAGCTCAAGGTGTAAAATCCTTCCTCACATCGGTCGTTTTACGGTTTATTTTCCTTCTGATGTAACATTTAAGATGCCGCTGCTTTCAGAGTTTATTTCACGAGACACAAACAGGAAGTTCTATGACCGCCTGCCGTTTAAAGAGGTGGGCAATGATGAGAAGGTAGAATTATTAGAATTGTGCAGAAGATGATGGAGGGATAAGTCCTGCCCTGTGCTTCTATGATATAACCTTTATAAAACTGCATTTTAACACTGCTGTCACTTTGGACTTCTATTAAAACAAATGTGTCTTAATAGAAAAGAGGAAGCAATCTGCAGGGATAACACTGACAATGGAAATTATGAACTTCTAAAATTTCCTGCACTTTCACTTCCTGTTCAGCGCGTCCTCGGTTGGATGTTCTTCTCCCAATGCAAGCGTTTAAAAGGCATTTTTAGATGCGTTTGTTTCTTCTACTGAGCTGCCACATCATGTCAAGCTGTTCCAGCTTCATTTAAAACGGTCAAACTCACTATTTCATGCGCACGTCATCCTAAGAGCATAACTTTGAAATCTCCACGATGATTCAAACGGAAAGTTTTATCAGTTTTTGGTTTAAACTTTTGAGCTGACTGACTCTGAGTCAGAGGTCAGCTCTGACCCTCCTGTTTCTACATTTCATCCCGTAAACCTGAGACCGCTGGGTGACTGGCTCGTTTTACACCCGTCTGACGAGTTCAAGTTAAAACGTTCAGGCTGTTGGGTGGTTTCAAACCTCCTCGGGGCAAAATATGATCCTGTCTTCACGAGGTTTGAAGTGAAGATTCATTAACTGATTCGGAATGGCACATTTAAAGAGTGTAAGTGCTTTGAAATGGTGATGGCTGGTGTAGTAATTACTGTGCGATTATGTTTGCGCACACTTTGAATTAATCAAATTAAAGATTGAGCTTCCGACTTCATTCTCTGCACATGTTGAGTTTAACGTTTATTTTCAGTGTTGTTTAAAATGCTCCTTCCTGGAGAAAAACAGAAATAAAGTACCTAGGTTGTTGTTGTTGTTTTTTTCTTTCCGAGGTAAAAAGTGAATGAGGACTTGTTTAATCTTAACGAGTTACCCATTTCCCCGTTGTCCTCGTCCCCGGTGTTATCTGAATTTCTGGTTCAACCTGCGCAGCTCGTCCCAGAAGAACAGGGACAGAATGGTGTGTGGACCGAGTCGGAAATAAGAGGCTCCAAGGCCTTTGTAGAGTCCCGTCAAACCTTCTTTCTTTAGTGTCTTCGAGACGCAGTCGGTGAATCCGTTATAGAGCTGCCCCTGAGAGGAAAAAGAAGAAGAATACTGTTTATTCACTAAAACTGATGCTCAGGTAGAAAACAGATCAAAGACGTACGGAGTAACATAAATGAGAGTTTCAAAGTTCATGCGCAATAATCCAGGTTTTAAAAAAAAATCCGACAAAAAGTTTGAGAGAGTAATGAAAGCTCGTTTTGTGTTGGATTTATGGATCTATATTTTGTGCAGACTTTTTCAATCTAAATAACAGAAGGATCAATTTTATTTTTATACTTGGAGACTGAATACTTTACTAAATAAAGTAATTTCAGTAAAATTAACCCTTTTTTTATATAATACTGCAAAGCATGGGCGTCAGAATCATCCGTAATGTGGGGGGGACACAATGATGTGTCTAGATGTGCGTGTGTGCACGCGTGTGTAAAAAAAAAAGGTGTTCACTAGTAAACAAAAAAAGCAACATTTCACCTAGATTTCCTTTAATTCCACACATTTAAATCATGTTTCTCACCAAGTCTGTGTAAATTCAGCTGTGGGTTTTAAGACATTTTAACTTTAATACACTTTAATACAGAGCGTCAGGTCGGCACTATTTGTCTTTATAGAGAGATAAAAAACATCACCACTGGACTTTTTTTAATTGTGTTCCAACACGACTCATCTAAATGATGTTTCTCATGAAACTTGAGGACAATAAGGTGTGGGGTTTTAAAGACATTTCAACTTTAATGCACCTGAACACACAGCGTCTCTTACACCTGCAGCGTCTGACAGCGTCACACTTACTGCTAACATGCTACAGATGTAGCGCTCCACTTCTCTCCTCCTAACATGAATATATGTTTATGATCAGCCCCCCGGTCAACAACTGCCCACACTAAGCATACTGAACTGGCGAGCGAGTAACAGAGGTGTCTCCATCTCCTCCACCTGTGCGCGTTTTGGAGACGCACAGAAACACCGCAGGTGTTACACCATATTCTGTGATCACCGTATATTGTGACCGTGGCAACAGGCTGCTGTGCAGTGTTGCCAGGTGAGAAATGTAGGATTATCGTACTAGAGACATAAAATTATCGTATTTTGAGGGAAATTATCGTACACCCGTCATAACCAAAATAACAAATGTATTGATGCACTATAGTAGTGATGGGTCGGCTTCCAGACCGGCTCTTCTTCTTCTTCTTTTCTTTGTTTCTTTTCCTCACTCATGGCGCGGGCGCAGAAGACTATTCAGCCAATCATGGCCGTTGTTCTGAGGCAAACGCAAACACGTCACTCATAGGTAACGTTTAGAAAAGCACGACTGGCTGGAATTTCCAGCCAGTCGTGCATCTGTTTGCGGACACAGATGCCTTCAGGGTTCACAAAAAAACTCCGACAGACAGTTGCGAGAGGCTGATGACAACTGATTACAACCACACATTCACGGAATGGTCAAATTATCGTATATTTGGCCTTTTTCGGGATTACTGATCGTACAGAGGGAAAAATTGGCATACAAATACGATAATTATCGTACACCTGGCAACACTGCTGCTGTGTTTAGAGTTGGAGGTAACCAGGAAAACCTGGAGTAGAGTTTTAGTGGCCTGAGTATTCTCCTATTGATCAAGTGGAATGGATTCGTTTACGAAGAATGAGAAACTGCGCCGCCTGAACTAATGTTTCATAGTAAAAGTGGGGGGGTCCAAATGAATGTTTTTTTAATGTGGGGGGGGACTTGTCCCCTTCACATAAAATGGTTGTGACGCCTATGCTGCAAAGCAATATGTTAAGTTAATTTTGTCAAATGAATAACTATGATTTCTGTTATTTTTGGTTATATCACAAAATTTATCGTTATCGTCAAATGCTCTGAAATATCACAATATTATATTTGAGCCATATCGCCCACCCCTACAGTCAAGCTGTCAATTTGCAGTTTAAGAACAACAAAACCTCCGTAATAAATTGTTTTACACCTCAAGTTGTGACCTATAAAGAAAAAAAAATGAATATTTAAATGCGCCCTTTTGGACGGCATTTTTCCATGTTTGACTTTACGGGGAGGCACCATCTTCCCTTTTTAGACACTTTTGTCTTGAAATCTTTATAAAGTTCGTTTGAATAGCTCACAGTGCAAAATAATAACCAGCAACTGACGAACAGGGAGGACGGTTCTGTTGGACTTGATGACAAAATGGTAAAGGAATGAGTTCTGTTCACCGAGGCAGATCTTTGTCTTCTTATCTAAACAGCATTACAGAACCAAACGCCTGCACGGGAAACCTTTATGGAGCTCGAGATGATGAGAAGCACCTTCAAATATAAACAAAGCTTTACTCGCCTTGCCCCGATGATCGACGGGCTGGTTGTAGAGCCGCGTGCTGACCACGTCAAAAGGCGTCATGGCCATCACCACCACCACGCTGCTGATCATTCCGGCACTCAGAGCCACCAACCAGCTGTTGTCTGGGAACACCTGAAGAACAAGGAGACACCATTCTGACGCAGGATGAAGGGCTCAGGAGTGAACGGGTACTTCATGTCAGCAGCGTCTAAATTTAACTGAAATGCAGCGAGCATGGCTCTATTATTAGCCTGTACAGTATGTTACACACATGCTACTGTAGCTGGAACCAAACTGTTTTTTTATCACATGATCTTTCTCTAACTGGCAACACAGACAAAACCTTTAATCCTCTGTATAGTTAAACTGTAGATAACAGTGTATATAAAACACAAAGCTGGGCTTCATTTGATGGCTGAACACTTTAAAAGCTCATTCTCTGTCGGTATAAAAGACTTTCTGTTAGGCAGAGTTTGGACCCATCCACCCCAATGCACTGCTTGCAAAAGCCAAATGTTTCCAGTTGGGGAGGGGGGCAGTGAAAAGTGGAGCATTTTATTCCAGTGGAGTGTTTTGTCATGGCTACACAGACTCATTTTGTAACCTATGCAAAGCTGCTGACTGCTAATGACTCAATGAATGTGTGGCAAAACTTAGCAACAGAGAAACTGTACGAGCCAAAATATTTAGTTTTATCCAAACAGCGACCATAAATCCAAAAGATACGCCACATACCACAGCAGTTAGACACTGCGAGGCGCCAGACGCTCCAGCTGGTCATGCTTTCGCTTGTGAAAAACACGCAAACATGATGAAAGACTGAGGAAACAAACCACTGATGTAAAGACCAAACTTCAGGGAGTAGCATTCCAACCTGCAGGTCCACGACCAGCTCCTTGGAGGAGGAGAAAGTGGAGAGCTGGGTCGCCGACCCCACGCTGACTCTTGGCACGGCAGCACTGGAGCCCCTCCACAGGCCCAGGACGCCATGCTGCCTGTAAATGACTCTCAGAGCGTGGACCATCCCCTGCCGGGTACAGAAACATGAGACTGCTGATGCCTCTTCAAACGTGCATGGATACATTCAGTCATTCAAGTTAAACACTGATGTCCTCACCATTTTATTTATTATCATTAATTGTATTAACCTTTATTTAACCAGTCAAATCCCACTGAGATCGCAGACCTCTTACAAGGGAGGCCTGGACCTGAAGGCAGCCTTACGTGCACGTTGTTTGAATGGTGAGAGGAAACCAGAGTATACTGGGAAAACCCATGCAAACACGAGAACATGCAAACTCCACACAGAAAGACCACAGGTCCAAACTGGGGATTGAACCCAGGACCTTCTTGCTGTAGCGCTAACCACTAACCCCACCGTGCTGCCCAATTTTAAATAATTTGTGTGGCAGATTTTAAATCAACGGATCAGTCACTTGGAGCGGCTTCCCAAGCAGCTTCCCTTCTGTTTGTACTGCAGCTACGTGCTGAGAGGAAGAGTCTCTGATGCACATTTATTTAAAACAGCAAAGACTTAATGTCGAAGTAACACAACCACTTTGGAGCTGAGAAAATAAAAAATAATAGTTTGAACCTCTGTTTGGGTTATCAAACTTTAAAAGTCCACTATTTACTGAGACTCCACCCTCTCCGTGCAAGCTCTTTAATTATCTGTGTTCATCAATACAAGCAACTTTGCTTTGATGAAAATACTTTTAAAACCTGTTCAGTTTCACTAATGCCCTTTGGAATCAATCCTGACTTTCTACATTGCAGACTCTCAAACTCCTCTGTAGGTTTTGCAGCCAAGTTTTATTGAATTTATTTTTTAAATTCCCTTTTTAAACATTCCTTGTTATGTTTTTGTGTTTTCTCTTTCCATTATAGGGTGAAATTTACGGTTCGATTTGGTTTATTTGTTTTGATGGTAAAATGTTTTTAGACAGAAAGTATACATAAATTATACTAAGACCGTGGCCTAGTGTGCTCCTAAACATATTGTCGTTTTGGAACCGGAGTCTGTGCACTAGAAATGTGGGGTTAGGTTCCCTCAAGGGCCACTACCCTGCGTGTTTTAGATATTTCACACACGCTTTGAATCAGTGGTGCATTCTACACGATACGCAGGTATACAAAGTATACCCACTAGGAAAGCTTAAGAATTTCAGTATGCCCACTTAAAGGTGCCCAATCAATGATATATGACATATCTGTACTTACTACTTAATACTTGAACACGTTTTGCTTTGACGCTGTTTTATAAATTCTATAACATGGTTTTTTTTTTTATACAAAGCCAACTATTGTAAGCATCAGAAAAATTTGGAAATGTTCGATATGCATAAAAAATCAAAATAAATTGACGATTCCATTGTACTAACCAGTGTACTTTGGTTTCTAAGCACAGTATGCCCAGTACAAAAATGCGGACTACACCACTGGTTTGAATCCATGGGTGCTTAACACGCTTTTGCAGAACATGCAGAAGTGATTTAACCATTAAATCAGTTGTGTTGGAGCAGGGAACTAGTTAAACATGCAGACCAGGACTGAACACCCCTGATCCAAAAGAGTATAGTGGCCCACGAGGACCAAGATTGGACCCATTTGGTCTGGAAAGACTCAGAAGAGTTATCACAGTTTAACTTTGTCTACAGTGAACTGTCCTTGCTGCAATGGTTCTGGTGGTACCTCGTGTTTGTACTGGTGGCCAACAGCGATGGAGGAAGTGGACTGACTCTGGAGATGAGTCTTCACCTGCAAAGACAGATTAGGATTATTATTCTCCACATTTTAAACTCATCTTCACATCTTTTAAACCCGGTGGCAGCCCCATACCAGGTAGACGGGGCTGCCCATGACGGCCCCCACCACCCCGGCGGCAGCCCCCGCTAACGTGGTCTTGACAGCGCTGACCCTCCCGTTGGTGTGGATGTAGCCGGCGGACTCGATGATGGCGTACGAACCGAGCCTGACTCCGTTCATGCAGAGCTGGTAGAACAGAGCCGGGGCCAGGCCTTTCTGTAAACCCGCCACTCCGTCCACTTTGCCGATGGTGTAGAACGCGTGGAAAACGTTGCGGTAGTAAACTTGATACGTGCCGCGGCTCCGGAGCTCTCCCTGCAGCTGCATGCGCGTTTTAACGACCTCCAGCGGGTTGGTGAAGAGACACGCGCCGCAAGCCGCCACTCCGCCTAAAACGAAATCCATCACGGCGGTCCGACAGTCGGTCCGTCCGGGGAGCAGGTGTGGAGCTCAGGCCTGCTGTCAACGAGTCATGTTCGCGGGCTTAACCTGAGCACAGACTCGCTCGCCGTCATGATACTGAACACAGGCTGAGCACCATCACTAACAGCAGCAGAGAGGCGCGAGGACGAAACGCGCAGCCGTGGGGGCTTCACGAGCATCTTCAACGGTCGGAATTTAGATAAACACATGCAAAGCGCGTTTAATCCTACCCGACTATCTTAAAGTCGTGTTTAATTAGTGTCACTTTTACCAGGACATTCTTAACAACTCAGTGTTGAAGCGCTTCTATAAAACTAATAAATCTCAAAATGAGTTTACCTTCTGGTAATGAAAACAAAAACAAAAATATTTATGAGCGGAAGATAAAAGAAAAACGTATGTTCCACAAACACCTCATACGGAAAAATGGTACATTGTAGCTTACGTCATGACGTCATTCTTTAAACCCTCTTTCCTCTCAGTCAAAGGGGCTCTGCTCTCAGTCTACGAAAATCCAACAGATGTACAACAACTCATACAACAGAAAACTGGACAAATAATTCAACTTACAGAGAAAGACTTTATATTAGGCTTCAACAATAAGGATATGGACAAAAACTTGATCTACTTCACCCAACTTCTACTTCTCCTGGGAAAATTCCACATTCACATGAAAAAGTGGTCAAACTCCAAACCAAGCATGACCCACTTCAGCAGAACTTTACATATACAGCACCACTGTTAAAGGACTTGAAAACAAAAAGGCTATAAAAACCATCTCAGTTCTAGAAAAACAATGTGAACTTATCTGTATAACATGTAAATTTATTGTTTTGAATCTTTAGAATTTTTTACCCTTTGTACCATTTTATAACCAAATTGTTCTTTCTATACTTTTGTACCTGCTAATATACCCCTGACAGACCGTTGTTTGTATAACTGATAAAGTTTTGTAATAAAAATAAATAAATAAATAAAAAGTCAATGAAAATCCATTTATTTTTTTCTGGAAAGACACTTTCTTCTTTGTGAACAGAAAGTTTTAAATGGACCTACCGTTTAACTCTAAAACTATAAACTATACAGTTTGCTTTCTTCTGTTTGAATATTCCAAGTAAGAAAGTTTTTGTTGCAAACTTAATACTAATAAGTCAAATTTCATAACCGCAGCTGTATATTTTCCATTCTAAAACCCAGATGTAGATTTTTTTTAACTTATTTCTTCCTATCTGTCCACTTGAAATTACTGTACCAATGCAAAAGCCTGAAAGACTAAAACACTACTGTAACCTGCCCAAACCATATTTTCACTTTTATTATTTGCTTGTAATTCTATATTCTCATGCCTGCCTTAAGCCTCGACCCATGTTTGCAGTTGCAAGATTTTGTTGTAGCCTACTTATTTTGTATAAAGTTGTTAAAAAAAGTAAATAAATATCCGTTTTGTCGCATGTAATCTTCATGATTTAATTAATAACCAAAACTATTAAATTAACATTTAGGGATTTTTTTTTATTTTATTAGGGCTTTGCTTCTTCTTCATCTTCTTCTTTCTAATTATAAACTTACACGTTAAGTCTACAACATCGCACTGTTCTTTAAAGTCTTCTAATTCAGTGTATTTTTCTAAAATATTTCCAATTCACTGCAAGTAAGGTTTGCTTCACTATGTAGATTTATTTCAACATGAGGGCACATCTCCAACATTATTCTCTGCAACACGTCCTTTTCAACAATATCACAATCTAGTCTGTTCAAACAAGTGTTCACATATATTCAAACCTCAAAAAGTGAAATAAATGAACAAGTAAAAATATTTAATATTAAATAAAAAAGAATACAGGGCAGCAAGGTGGCACAACTGGTAGAGCTGCTGCCTCTCAGCAAGCAGGTTACCCTGGTTCAAATCCCGGTCCAGGGGGCTTTTGGAGTTTGCATGTTCTCTCCGTGCATGCGTGGGTTTTCTCCCACAGACCAAAAACATGCATGTTAGGCTGATTGGCAACTCTAAATTGTCTCTAGGTGAGAGAGAGAGAGAGTGAATGGAGATCTGTCCACGGTGTGTCCCCCTCCCCCCAATCCAGATTCGGGAATCATGAGTCTAACAGCCTCAGGGTAGAAGCTGTTCATCAGTTTAGTGGTTCTACACTTAATGATCCTTAACCTCCTTCCTGAGGGGAGCGGGGCAAAAAGTGTGTGTGCTGGGTGAGTGGGGTCCTTCATGATGCAGGTGGCCCTCTTCCTGCATATGGAGGTGTAGATGTCTGTGATGGTGATGAGACTGACTCCAACAGTCTTCTGTGCAGCCTTCACCACTCTCTGCAAAGCTTTTCTTTCTGCAGCCTCCATGCCACATGTTGATGCTGGAGCACAGGATGCTCTCCACTGCACACCTGTAGAAGGAGGTGAGGACTGAGCTTCCCAGTCCAGCTCGTCTCAGCCGCCTGAGGAAGTAGAGTCTCTGATGAGCTTTCTTGATCAGGCTGGTGGTGTTGTTGCTCCAGCTAATGCTGTCATTCAGGTGTACACCCAAGTACTTGTAGCTGGAGACCACTTCCACCGCAGATCCTCCTATGTTCAGTAGGTGTAGGTGTGTTTGTTCTGTCTGAAGTCCACAACAATCTCCTTCATCTTCTTCACATTGATGTGAAGGTTATTCTCTTTGCACCAGCTCTCCAGGTGTTTCACCTCCTGTCTGTAGTCATTCAGACCAGTCACTGTGGAGGTCTTTGGGACTGGGATGATGGTGGCGGTCTTCAGGCATGTGGGGACTGTTGCCAGGGTGAGGGAGGAGTTAAAGATGTCGGCCAGCACCTCGCAGAACTGATCAGCACAGTCTTTCAGCACCTTCCCGTGGATGTGGTCTGGGCCAGTTACTTTGTGAGGATCAATCCTCCTACTCCTCACTTCTGCTGAGGTCACGCCGAGAAGCTCTTCTTCCGGTGGTGAGGTGAGTCTGGTGCTGATGTTCTAAAAACACTATCATCTCTTTTTCCTCTGCAAAGAAACAGTTCCATCACAACTTAAATTTCACAAATATGAGAACATGAGCTAAAAGGCAACTCTAACACTTTTCTTTACAATATCAGAATGTCATTTTCTGCTGTGCAGCATTGCCATGAGTTCTGCAGTCCAAGGGGTTTGCTCCAACAGCTCTCTCCACCAGATGTCACCATTGGAGATGCAGCTGCTGATCCATGGTGACGACCTGGAACTCCATTGATCCAGTATGGTTTCACTTTGATGAACTTGCATGTTAGTTTTGCCAAAAGTGTTTCACGTCGGATGCCCATCCTGACACAACCCTCACGAATAACCCGGGCTTGGGGCCGGCACAAGAGATACACTGGTTTGTGCTTCCTAGTGGCTGTTTATTTATTTATTTGTTTATTTATTTATTAAGGCTTTACTAATAAATTATCAAGGTATTTAGAGATATCGTTTGCACTTTGGATGTTCTTTGTATTTGCAGATCCCTAATTAAATACATACTGTAAATATTCAGGAACTTGTTGGAATTTGTGAGGCATCTTTACAATGACAGCTTTTAAAAGTAAAAATAAACAAACAAACAAAAAGCAAAGTTCTTTGTATGACATATATAGATCAAAATCTTAAAATTGCAACAGTCTGAACTTCATAACCTATCCTGGAGTTTTTGGATTGTTCAAAGTAATATAAAATTTCTTATGAAAGGGGAGAAGAAATGATGATATAACAAAACAAAATAACAAAATAAACACAAAATACATAAAAAATAAATCAAGCTACCAAATAATTTTCTATAAGTTGAAATAAAATAATTTTTGTCTTGATATAACACCTGGGATACAAGCTGACTATGGTCAACACCTTACTGGCTCAGAGCAAACACTAAAGGGAAAACAAATAATAATAATAACAACAACAACAACAACAACAACAACAACAACAACAACAATAATAATAATAATAATAATAATAATAATATACAACAAGCCCCAAACATCAGTCGCTGCAATCCAAGTAAAGCCAAACTATTAAAACTACATACAAGCAGTCAGAAAATATTAATTACTGCCTGAATATTAAAGACGAAGGTCAAACAACCTCCAATCAGAGCAGCGTGGTGCTCTGATTAAGGACTGAAAAACTGTTCAAGACATTTTTGCTTATTGCATCGTTGTTATTATTAGTATTTCATTTATTTTACTGGGAGAAACTCATTGAGATTAGATATCTCTTTTACAAAAGTGTCCCGGTCTTTGAGTGTAAGGTTTTGACCTTAAAACAAAAGTCAGCTCAGATGTGTGTCTACATGAGTAGTGCTTCATTTTCTGTGTTTGGCAGGTTTCCAAGCAGCATTGGGATCATAAAAAGTTCAGAATGTTGACAATGGATGCAAATCTGGACTTCCTGCTCAAAAGTCTGCACACTCTGAGACACTTCTGTCTAAACTTTCTAGGTTAAGGAAAGGTGAGGTCAGTGGAGGTTATTGGGGCGTCCTCACTGATCTTAATTAGAGATTATCGTCTTAGGTAAAGGAGGACAGGTACATTCACAACTTTTTAAATTACATTTATTTAATCAGCTGAGGAAGAGTTACACACTTGACATGATGAGCAAAATAACAAAAAGTTTATAAATAGTTAATATACAGTAACTAAATATATTAATAATAATATATAAATAGTTTATATGTAATTAATTACATGCAGTTAATAGCTCTTTGGATGACCTAAGCTTGGAGAAATAAAGCTAAAATCTGTTTTGATAGGGTCAGAGCGAAAAGGATCCTGCCTTTGGCTGCTGCCCATGGCACTTTGCACCTTACTTGTATGGCCCCTCCTGCAGGTGGTGGACTCACAGGAAGGCAAACATAACTAATTTTGACTGAGCCCAACCGGGCCCAGTGGGTAGAGACCCGGTAACCGGGCGCTCGCCCTTACCCCAGGCTCAGCTCCACTGTGGGGTTTCCGATAACCCACAAATGCCTACGAGGGACATTGAGCTCCTTTGGTTGCCTCAAGTGGAGCAGTTCAAGTATCTCAGGGATTTATTCATGAGTAAATGAAGAATGGAGGGTGAG